CACTTGACCTCATTTTGAAACTGAGGGTTTTAGGAATTCGGAAGTGGTCTATTCACATTAAGCCATTTGACCCCGTGAGGCTGAATTCAAAGTCCTTCCCTGACCTTTCAGTCAGGTATTAAGGTCCTTGCAGCTGATTAAATCCGTGCATACAATTCAGCCACATTCCTGCTGAATAATTATGAGTTTAAGAAGTACAATGAGAACCAGAAATAACACAGCCCCGACGTATAACGATTTTTCCAGCCCCTTTTGCACCGAGTTATTTTAAAATTTCACTTCGCTAATTCCAATACATTCAAGATTCAAGGTTCATGAATTCACTGAATCAAACATTATTTGCTTAGTTAGGAAAGGCAAATCCAAAGCTACTGGATAAAACCTAAACTATAACAGGAAAGAACAAAAACAGTGTTTAATTATAAAGAATTTTATTTCAATTTGGATATCTGTCTAAAATAACAGTATTTTCTTAAATTAGATGGCGTTTCCCCACGTTCTTATTAATGTTATTAGAGAGATAAAGCATCACGTTTACGTCAAACGGCAAACGCGAATTCGTACCACATCACTAAGTTTCCTCTTAACTTGTCGCCTACTGTTCATTATTTCAACACATAAATTAGGTAATTTCACGCAACTTTTTACCCATAAGGATTGTTTTGAGCTGTTTTTATCTGCTCATTTTCTATTTTGAGAAATTCTCAACTTGAAACTTAATTAAATTCATGTGTGCTTCTATTGTTTTCAAAGCTTTCAGTGGTCTCTCGCCAAGTTATATATAACTGTAAAGTAAAGTACATAACATCGATACGTGTGAAGCCAGGAGGACCTTGAAACTTCCGAAAGTCAACACTAACTCCGGCAAACGTACTTTTGTCTTCCTCGCTTCTAGTGAATGGAACTTGCTACCGGATAGCGTTAAAACTTCAACATCGCTTTCCTCGTTCAAAAGAAACTATTTGAAGATGGCCTTCTCCAATCTCAAAGAAGTCTGATTTTGACTCGTACAGGATGTCCATAATCAGTCATTGTTATGCAGAGGCGCCTCTCTTGTATTCCCTTATTGATCAACTTTTATATTATTTATATTATGTATATAAATAAATATATATATTTTTATTGGCATGGTTTTTTATCCTTCATTAGTATTAGATTATAAGTGTTATAATTGTAATTATTTCCTTTTCTTTTCTTTCTCTGTTTCTTTTAATTTAAAGGGGCCCAGATAAAAAATTTCTTGTGTAATTCTGGTTTCACCTTGGCTAAATAAAGTCTTGTTGTTGTTGAATCTGGCGTTTGCCGTTTACAGTATACGTGATGCTTTAACTCTCTATATTACATGAACGAAGGACAAGATTCAGAACTTGACGCTGTCAAAGTCATGTGATCCAACACTTTGCTGGAGATATTCCCGGTAAAGTCGCTCCTGTGATTGAAAATACAAAAGCCACATCAAAAGCTGCCTCTCTTTTCTTTTCAAGAAAGTAAAAAAATGGATGGATGGATGGATGGACGGATGGATGGACGGATAAACGAATGGATGAATGAATAGAAAATAAATTACAAAAGAAAGTGATATGAAGATAAGTATACCTTGTGTCCCTTAACGTATCCTTGAACGTACGATCTCTGTTCTAAAAGAAGTTTTTTCTGTTTCCTTGTCAGGGTGGGTCTTAATCTGGAGGACAAGAGAGACACATCAAAAATAGTACTCCCGGTCTTCTTGTATAAAAAGCAAGCCAGCTATCGTCCCCACTGACTGAAAGCCACGCAAAAAGCTTGTAACGGGCCGTGTTGTGAAAGCGGCTAACCGCTATTAATACACAAACTGGCGCTTTTTACAATAATTTATATTTTAGAATTGTGCATACCGTCTAACACTCTTACTTCCAACTATTTCTTCCAGAGTCAAGGTTAGCAAAATCACGGAGAAAGAGTCAGAATCAGGGCTGTCATTAACGGTTGGGAGACGGGGATTTCCCCCAGCTATTATGAACGTGACTCCGCGCTACTTTTATGAGAAATAGAAGAAAAAGAGAACCAGAAGAGATCCTTAGCTGTTTGATCCCCCACCTACTTGTCGTATTTACCCAGCAACTTGAAATCTCAGTGACAGCCCTGATGGCAATATATCTATTTCAGTTTCAGGTAATGGGGCTTTGTTTGCAAGGTCAATATACGTTTCTGGGAAACTGCCTACCTACTCCTCCCCCAAACCAACATTTTGCCCCAAGTGAGAAGTAAGATTTAACGTTGGTTTAGGGGAGGGGTAGGTCGGCAGTTTCCCAGAGACGTATAATGATCCGAAACTTTCTACTAATTCACTTTCAAATTTAAACCTGAACGAATTACCCACTGTGAGCCAGTTACCCTTAGTGCTTGCAGTCTAGATCGGCTCTGCAAGGGATGTGTTCATAATTCACGAGTACAGAGAGTAAATCTGCGTTTTGTCTAAATAAACAGTAGCCTAACAAAACAGCCGAAATTTCGCGACGCAACCAGTGGTTTCCCCGCGAAATGACGTCTGAGAAACGAGTGCAGAAATTCCATACTGATGACATGTCACTACTCAGATCTGGGTAGTGCTGATTGGTCGAGCCACGAGGGAAATGTGCTTCAACCAATCAGAAGCACTGCCTGTATCTGGGTAGTAACACGTCATCAGTATAGCATTTCAGCAGTCGTTCCTCAGACGTCATTTTACGGGAAAATCCGTGGTGGCGTCGTGAAATGTAGGCTGTTTTCTCAGGCTAAATAAACAGTACAATGTATATGGGACAAAACATGAATGGCCAGATGTTACCTTGAGAACAGTTTGGCAACAATTAAAAGTACAAAGGAAAACACTAGCATTCCAATAAGGGCATGGTTATGGTACTGTACAGGAATAGACATCCACATCTTCTCAACAGGCGCCTAGCAATGCAAAATGAGAAAAGTTAGAAAAATGAAATATTAAACAAGGCATCAATTCAAATAAAATTTATTCACTCCCCTCTTTAACCTTCCCACTGACATTTTGCCCAAGGGTGTCGGTTTTGAGGGGTGCCCCAATTAATCTTTAAAAATATCATTAACAAAACAAATATCAACAGTTAAAACGCCGCCAAAAAGGTTTAACAGTGCATTTAATTATTGGTCATGCCAAAGAATTTACGACCTCAGATGCACGTGTTCAGAACACACTTTAACACTGACTTGTTGAAAATAATATTGCCCTTACCGTATAAATATGGAGTTTTTCTGAAACATTTTTCCCAACAAAATTGTCCAAGGTTCCTTTAGCACTGCTGCTGGCAAGAAAGTTGACCAACAAGACAAAAGGAAGAAGGATACCCAAGAAACCAAAAAACAGGCCTCTGATTCTTGCACGCAGATTATGTGAACGTGCCTCTCTGGAAAAAAAAAAGTAAAAACCAACTTCATGCTTTCAGAAAACAGAACTTGACAAGTTGTTCCACCATGATAGCCAGCAGTGGCGGTCCAGACCTACAGATAAGAGGGGGACCCGGTAAACCAGACCCTGAGATAAGGGGGGCGGCAGTCTCAAAAAAATGTTTTTCAGCCCTTCGGGCCTCAGTTTGGTCTAAAAATAAGGGGGGTGGGGGGCGGGCCCCCTGGGGCCCTCCCCTGGATCCACCACTGGCCTGTTAATACATGTCCATCTCTCCTTGCTCCTCCCCGCTAAGGAGGTTTCACGGGAAAGACTCGTCTGCAATTCGGCCCATAAAATTCCATACTGATGACGTAGATTTGTCTGGAATCTGGTCAATGAGCACTGATTGATTGACGTAGTTATTCTCTTTTTTCAGCTGTTGTTTACAAATGACAGACAAATGACAAAAGGTCACAGAGATAAATTAATGCAAACTCCATGAATCTACCAAAAAGCGGTCATTATTTGTGGATTATAGACCTCTTTACCACAAGCATATAAACTTTGCTGTTGCTCATTCGCAGAAGAGCTCAAAACAACTCCTCAAACAAATTTAGATGTGGAACCCCATGACTACCACAGTAATTAAGAAAACATTGATTCACGTCATCAGCATGAAATTTTTGCGGCTGAGTCACAGACCTCTCTCCCACGAAACAACTTTAGCAACAAGGAATGGGGAGTGGTGGCTGTATTGAGGCTACCACCACAGTGAATACATTGATAAAGTATGTCATATACTACTCACGAATCATTCCTTAGCTTTTCATCCACCAAGTCAGCAATTTTCTCACAGTCCTTTTCAAGTGTGTTAAGAGTATTTTGTATTGTCTGGTTGATTGTTTTCTCAATCTCCTTGCACACCTCTTCAATTTGATTAGCACATCTTGCAGGCTGTAAAGAAACATTCTTTCAATATAGATATTCTACAGTCTGTGGCGACACATTAGTGAGTGTTGTGTATTCACTTTACATACCTTGTCCAGCAGTGTTGGAATAAAAATAGTTGGCATTTCAAATCCTGCTTTATTGAGTCCTGGTCTTTTACAGAGTTCCTGGGTTATCTGCATCAAAACTTTCTAAAAAACAGCAAAAAGATGGGCTCAGTATTAATCATGCAATATTTGAGAGTTTTAGAGGCACATTTATGGCAAACAGCAGACTCAAGTTGAGAATTTCTCAAAATAGAAAATGATCAGATAACAACACTGTTTAACTAATATTGTTTATTTGTGGAAGTAAAGAACAGTTAAACGCAGGGAAAAACGTGGTCACGTGGCACAAATTCACAAATGCCATTTGCAGTAAACATGACTTTAAATCTCTTTATTATCATATGGGATTAAATTTTATTAATTTATTTTAGCTTGAAGTTTTATTAAACCAAGGGTCAGTTCAATAAAGAAATAACATTTTGTCTACGCTTAAGTAGACATTACGTGTAAATGTGTGGAAAACAAAAAAAAACAAATCAAAGCAAATACAGTCTTACTACATTGTGTATCAATGTAAATGGTATTTGAGTGTGCATTTGTTGACTACAAGTGTTCTTTGTTTTCATTCTATGCTCTACTTTGTGGACGTATTAATAATTCCAATAAATGAGTAAAGGAGTCTACTGGGAGATGAAACGTCTACCAGAACAATGGATTTTCAATGTTTTATCACTAGAATGTAACTCTTGTAATTTAATGTTTCCACAGTCCAGCAACTGTGTTATTCTAGCCTTTGATAAACTGTTCACAGTCCCTTACAATGTATTTTCCTGTAACATTATTGACATTAAGCACTTTTGACTTTTTCCTTTCCATTACCTACAGGCAGCAACTTTGGTTTCAAAATGCATCGCCATAGATCTATCCCCAGGCTTGACTTGGAACATTTTGAAACAAAGATGGCTGCACGTAACACAAAAAGCTCAATCCCAATGATCTTACGGAGTGTGAACAGTCTTGCCTTTGATAAAGTGTGTGGTCCATCTCATTCCTTGAAGAAGTATTCAAATACAAAAATGTACCTGTCTGTCACTTTCATGCCCTGCTGAATCAGCTTTGCTCAGAAAAAACCTGATTCGGTCAGCATGTCTCTCATTTAGTTTCTCTGCATGGAAGAATGAACAAAAAGGGTCAGAAGTCAACTACAAATAAATGTTGATGTTAATTATGGTCGAAAGTTACTGATGCAATAATGCAATACTACATACTCTTATACTACTACATGAGAAATTTCTGCAGTTTGATTGGCTTAGAGCAGTGGTATTTCAGCTTAATTTCAAATAACTACATGTGAAAATTATAAGCCTTTTATGGGTAGCAGTATAAACAAATAATAGCATGATTTGTACATGATATTTGGCATGAATACCACTCATGACATTTCAAAATTGTCTCCAAAATTTCACTCACCAAATACGTATAACAATTTTGAAATATCACTTGTGGTATTTATTCCAAATATCACTACTAATCATGCTTTTACCTATACAAATTCTCATCTGAAGTGTATGGTGTCTAATTCCATGGACCAGGCCCCAGTTGCTCAAAAGGTGGATAATGCTATCCTGTGAATAAATCTATCCAGTGTACATGTATAATGCAGTTGATTTCATTATAATACTTATCCGCTGAAAAAGCTACACTTACCAACTAAATTAAGAGTCCGTTTACACAGTGCTTGTCCAATAGGATCAAAGAAGACAAAGATGAGATCAGCCAGATTACCTGGAAATTGAACAATGTCTATTATTGAAAGGTACATGTATAACATTACCTGATAGGTTTACCTGGTAAGAGGCAATTACAAAGTACGGATGATCATTTTGGTTAATTCTCAGTACCTTTTCCCTTTATAATGTATTTATATTGTTTGGAGAAAATTGATGTTGATCACTCTTGAGACTTAGGCCCTATTTACATGGAGGTGGGGGACCCCAGGTAGGTGAGATAATGCGCTCATGCCTTAGGTGGGGTAACCCACCTGTCCGTGCAATTTCTCATTTTAATTTGATCACGTTGACATGATAGGTGTGGTGACCTTGCCACATGTTACCTCACCTATCCGGGGTCCCTTACCTTCATGTAAACAGGGTTAACGCATAACTGACGGTCGGTACTCACCCAACCAAAGAATAGAATCATCCACATCAAACGCATATTTCATATCTCCATCAACAAGCCCTGGCGTGTCGACAAATGTCACCAAACTGAACTTTTTTTGCTTTGATGTTGAAATTTCAGTCGTCAAGTAATCAACAACACCTACAGAGGTAGCATAAGTTACATTCAATATACAGTCGCATCTAAATTAAAAATCAAGGATATTTAGTCAAAAGAATAGTACCAGATTAACATGTGTCATATATAGCTACATGTATATCACTGTACAATTTTGGAATGTATTAATGTAAGCATCAAATCCTCAAAAACACTTCCTTTGCAACAAAATTAATATTGTGAATACAAAATGTATAAACAGCCCACCACATGGCTGCTACAAGAGAAAAAACCCCATTTTTTCTTTACAATTACATTTATTTATTATTCAAATATTGAGAATCTTAACAAAATGGTAATAAGATTGTTTTTCCAAGTTACACAAACTTGTATACTGACAGCCAAGTTTAGCCCAACTGAAACATGTATACCAGCAGCAGATACAATTTTATTAAGAGAAATTATCATTCCCTACCTTTAAGATCTTGTAATGATTTGAAATGCGGGTAAAGATGTAATGTAGCATTTCCCTGTTAGAAATTGATAAAATTAAGATACCGTAAAGTTCCCAAAGTAATGACCCCCCGAAAGTAGCACCCCTTCGAAAGTAGCAATAAAATTTCACAGGTGTTAGCAAATGCCAAAAGTAGCGACCCTCTGAAAATAACGACCCTACGGAAGTGGCAACTTCAAAAGTGATTTCCCTTCTTGCTACAACAGAAATTATAGTTACAACAAGATTCACCAAACTGATCCGAGATTAATTTTGTAATAGTTATAATGATCTGTGAGAGTTTTTATGTAACTCAAAAGGTACATCACATCTATTTTTTGTTTTCAAAAATCTTCCGTTTATCTGTGAAAACCCACACCGTAATCAAACAATATTCTTTTGAATATTTATTTAAAAAGCAATAACATGAAATAAGTTTCATCAATTAAAAAGTGTGAATGTTTTCAGAATTGTCGCGATATTATCATAACTTCATATGGCCCATGTACGATACACGTTTTAACAGCCCAAAAGTAGTGACCTCCTGAAAGTAGCGACCCTCCAAAAGTAGCGATAGGAAAAGGCTGCTAAGTCCGAAAGTAACGAGGGTCGTTACTTTCGGAACTCTACAGCAATTTAACAAAATAAGGTGACATTATTGCTCACACTTTGTTCAACCAACTTAAATCATCTCTTTCAGGCCCTTCCTAAATGTACTTCATGTACATTGTAACTATGTGAAAGAATTTCTTTAATTTTTAATCAACGAGAAAAATTTAACAGTAAGGAGTTTGCATGTGCATTGAAATAACGAAATAACACGCATTTTGTCCAAATTATTCTACTAATAATTTCCCGAGCCTTAAGGCAAGGAAAATTATTAGGATTTGGACAAATTTCACAAGTAAACAATTTTGATTACCTATTAATATCATGGATGGCAAATTACGTTCACAATCATAGGTTTTGACATGTTTATCAAACTGATTATTGATCGAGAACTTAAGCACTTTGCTGCCATCTTGGCACTGAGATGTATGGAACATTGCCATGGCAATTTTGTAACTTCACATGTGAAATTAGAAACGCTGAACTTTTGTGCCAAAATATTAATAGGAAAATGCCTATCTTATGGAGAGGCAACTGAACATAGGAGTAAAAAATGGCACAATTAACTCTAGATGACCATTTTAGCCAGGTTTATGTCTTTTAGAGTTGATTGTCCTATGTACAGCTAAGTATTTCAAAACATTTCTTTTCTTTGGGCCTACACATTCACTACTAATCTACACTACACTAATCAGTCTTACCGTCAAAGATTCTCGCTTCTTTCCACTGGTGACAAAAGTAAATCCTTGAGTTTCAATAGCAACCCCAGTCTTCTGCACATGTTCTTCCACATACCTGTTAAAACAAAGCATCAGAGTTACATTAACTCTTTAAGCCCTAGGAGTGATCAGCGTCAAATTTCGCCTTGTAATATCACGGCTTTATAAAACAGAGTGGTGATGAGAATTAAGGACATGATCACACAAGATGAATCTAATTGATCCTTCAACAAATTCTCCCCACTATTTCTTTTGAAAACGCATAGAGATAACAAATGAGAATTTGAATTTTGATATTTGGGTTTAAAGGGTTAATCAATGTCCATGGAAGACCTGTTCATACAGCCCAAACAAAAGTATGTAACTATTAATATGCAGTTGAGAATCTCTCTCAATGGACAGCTCTACAAGACAGACACCTTGTTAACACAAACACCTAAAACTGAACCCAAACTTTCTTTACTCTCATTATTTGAATCTCTATAACTAGACAGACACCTCCTTAAGATATACACTTAGTGCCTGTCCCAAAGGTGCATATCTTAAAGAGAATTGACTGACTGTATACCTGATATTTGTGTTAAAATGGGTAATATGGGTCACCTAAAGCCTACAGTATAAAAGTCTATGGAAGTCTAGAAAGCACATGTATTCCTTAGTTACAAGTGTAGGTGCCACACTTCCACCAAAAGACAAAAGGCAAATTCCTGTGAGGAATATCACATGACTCAAAATTTGGACAATCTTTTAAATATTACTAGTAGTCACATTCTTTCTATTTTAACTTGAGAATTAGGAAAAAATAATAATAATAATAATCCACTGGCAGACCCCTTTATGGGGCTCTTCAGGGATAATGAAACAACATAATTCAAAGAGAGCATAATTATGTTTAAGAATCCCAACTGGTAGGAGGCAAACCAGTTGGCTATTTTACAAGGGTGGCTGAGGATTTGAACTTAGGACTACCAAGAACCAATCCACCAAGTAATCAGGTGGGACTTAAACTCGGGGCCTCCAGATTTCAAGTCCAGCACTCTACAGTCTTTTAGAATACAACACCACAAAAATTCTTCAACAGTTTTTTGGCAAACTGAACGGCATGGAGTAAGAGCAGTGAATTTTGAAACAGTGAGTGTGAACTTTTGCTGATGTGGTCTTCAGTCAATGATGAACTCAATTTATGAAATAGCTTGAAGCTACCAATGGGTTCTTAAGTATTGTGGTTTCTTTAATATTCACTAATAGCCAACAAATTTTGTTTAGTTGTTGTTGTTTTTGTTGTATTTCACGTACTCCTCCACCAACACAACACCACAGCCTCTTTTCAAACTACTCCTCAGGTGTTTGCATTTTCGGAAGAAATGACTGTATTTCATTTTTGCATGACACCGTACGACTGGGCAACCTGTGATTAGAAACAGATCTTCGACCTTCTCAAAGAAAATCGAAGCGTCACAGCTGGCAACAGCTGTAGGATTAAAATTTAATTTGCGGGGTAATAAGTTGTTATTGCGGTTTCTAAAAGCCTTCACTCTAAAATAAATCTTGTCCATGGCCAATACTTTGGAAAAAGAAAACCTCAATAAGCTAACCTACTGTTGCAGTATGCGGCTTACCAGTTTATAAATGAACTTTTCCCTGCAGAATGGTTTCCAAGTAGTAAAATTGTGATCTTTTTTCTTGGGGCAAGTAAATTCAATCCCAGACCACTTGCAATAGTGATGAGACCTAAATATTACAAGATTTTCAACGATCAAGGAACGTACAAAACAAGGTAAAAATTGAGAGAGTTCCAAAATCCACGTCACGAGTAAACAGAGAGCGGTTTTTAAAATACCTTTCTCCTTCTCTGTATATAAATCGTGGCATTCCTTGAGAATTTTCTCATTCAGGGACACTGTTGATGTGTCGGGGGCATTAGCTGACGCCCTCTGTCGAGCGGATGGCATTTTTTACAACAGAAAAAACCGGAGGAATCTGTGATTTCTTGCACAAATTCTTACACAATTTTGCAAAAACTACCGCTCTCCGATCGAACTGCATCATGGGTTATTTGACCCGCTGACCGGTGTGGGACACGCACACTCTCGTGCGCGTGTTTTAAATGAGACAAACAAACATGGCGGCGAAAAAAGTAATGGTACACAGAAGACGATTTCTCAAAATCTGCTCATTAAAATTTTGTGATATTTGGCAGAATTTTGACTTTTATCATATGTTAAATAATTAGAACTTTAAAATGGAAGTTGAACAGACGAATTTTGTGATATACAGCACAATTATATTATTGATTTTCTAAAAACCCGTCTGTTAAGATCTGGTCAAATAAGTTTCAAATGGTAATGATTAATTAAAGTAAGCTGTGTGCAAGTTTATAGGAAAATCTAATGAGCGAATTTTATTTAAACTGAGCAAAAGTGAAATTTCAAGGCTCTACTCAATCGTTCATGTTGCCATGGAACCAACGAAAACGTCATATTTAACCTGTCATTCAAAATCTTTCATCAGTATATTTTTCACTTGCCAAGTTTCAGCTTGTGAGCTGCAACCTTTCTCTTGCCGTGATTTGGCAAATGACGTATACTCACAAACTGCCGAACCTGTGTTCAGCCACCTTAAACTCTGGGCAGCCTAGTCCCTAGGAACAGTCCCTAGGCGTTCTCTCTTGCTCCGTTGACCGCACGGTAGAGTCCAGGATTGACCGAGCCGAGAACCCCTAGGGTCTAGGCTGTGCTCTGGGGTATTAATAAACAAATTCTGTGGTTTTGACAACATTGCCTTAGTGAGAAATTCAAAATTTCAACATTGCACCCGTAAACCCAAGACAGACGGCGCACGGGAATTGCAAGTCAGTATTCTGCAGAATTTAATTTGTCTAGATCTGATAAAAGTAGACTGTTCACAGTCCTCTATTTTTCCGTAAGATCATCGAGATCGAGTGCTTTGCGTTACAGGCTGCCATCTTGCATGAGTGTCAAAACTACTTATGGGGCGGGGGCGAGTTATAATCCCAGACGCCTACCCCCTCGGTACATTTGAAAATCAAGATACCCGTGACGGTAAGACGCGGAATATCCAAACGATCTCACGAAAAAATAGGGGACTGTGAACAGTCCATGATAAAAGCTAAGGCAGGTGTTGGTTAGTCCACCCCATGTTGTCTTACTTCCTATTCAGGTACACCCACTGTGATGACGGGGGTGACTTGCATGTCTTCCAACCAATAATCAAACCTCATAAAATGGGCAGTCACCATTCCGTACCCAGGGCTTTCCCCTTAGACCCTTTCCTCCAATTTTCCAGAGGAAATATTCAGGTTTTTTTAGAAAAGTGGACGAGGTTGCAAAATGGGCAGTCACCACCTCGTCCCCAGGATTTTTGCAGTAGAAAATGGGAAAAATCAGACTGCTTACGCCACTGAATTTTCAGATTTGTGAGTTTGCGCGCGCTCTTTAACAGTCGTCTTCCTTACGGAAAAACGAATTCTAAATGCTTATCTTAATGACTTCTACTGGAGCTATACTTGAAATGGCAAGGCTACTCCAAACACGCCAAGAGGTTATTAACAGTCTTCTCCTCATTACAGTGTATTCTGCGACGCCTTTTTGTTTTCATCTCAGACTGACTTCAGCTCTAATGGACACTCTGCGAATGATGCACTGGTGCGCTGTTTTAACGTCCGCAGCGCGGGGAATTAAGGAGCGCCCGCCCCCTTCAAAAGTGGGACCTGTTAGCCGCTTGGACTAGTGCAGACTCTGGTCCGACCTCAGACTTCCACGGAATGAAAAGAATGACGATATTGACAGAAAAAATGCTGATCCGAATGCTCATACGAAAGGTACAGATAAAAAATACAAATACGTTTCCACGCGCGCCCAAATAAGTGCCACAATGGCCTTGATAGGATATCAAGACAGCGTCAGTTATTAATTGAGAAAATGACGTTTATAACGCAAAGAAAGTAACAAAAAAAACGGAGTTTATTAATTTTATAGCACCAAACTAAAATGATTCCGTTAATATTTGCGCGCGCGCTCATGACACGCACTCATGACGTGACATTGAAGAACCGAAACATCACTATGGTAACTGAAAGTGTTTATTCTCTAGATGAGAGTTGTCACAAAACTGAGTTGCGCTTTTGCGAGAGTTAAGCTAAGTTTTTCTTGCGCGGAATTTTAATAGATAGGTAAGAAACTATTTAGGAACTCGTGGTAAGATTATTTTGGCTGGACACTTTAAAGTTTTATCGGAAAAAAGAAAAAAAAAAGGAGAAAAAATCAAGTTTCGCTTTTTCGCGCCCGTCTCAAATGCGTTCGAAGAGCCCATTCTGTTATTTATTTTTTTTACCCTTTCCGCATTATTTTTCAACACTTTTTTGTAAAATAACATTCAAATTCAGTCTTTTTACATTGGTTATGATGAGTCTTAGAAGTGATGAAAGTTATTTTTCTTATTTTTGTCATTTTCTCTTGTATTTTCTTTTAGCGAAAACATGGCATCGTGGAACCCTTTTGGTCAAAGCTACAGTATCTTTCCCCACCAGACTGGTAAGCGCTCTTGCATTTTTATCATAGAGAAAGAAAAATTTCTTATTTTTCTGATTTGCTATTTTTGGCCATACGAATTTTTCTTTTAGTTGGAAGTTTTTCTTTTACGAATTGGCAGATCGGTAGTTAGTTTAGTCTAAGTTCATTATTTTATAAGTACATGTGTGGGTGTGTCTTGGCCTCTATACAACAGCAGCCTTCCCTCAAACAGAATCTTTTCCTGATTAGGAGAGAGGGAAGCTTGGAACAAATGAAATTTGTCTTTTAGTTTACTAATTTAGAGTTGCGCAAAACTCAGACGTTATTTTAAAAATTCTAATGTAGAAAAACTGTATTTTATTCTTCGATAAAGCTTCTAATGATGATGATGGCGATTCTTGGAAGATTGAGTTGCCCGGCGGAGGATTCATTCAGAAACCTGGGAGCGAGTTAAATCCATTTACTGATGAGCCCCAAATGGCGAATGAGGACTTTGAGTCACCCGAGGTAAGCATGCTAGGAACGTTCTCATCTACCTCTAGGGTCACCAGTAGATTTTTCGGGATGCGGGATTGCTTTTTTGAAGGTCGGGATCCGAGATTTAAAGCAAAACGAGGACGTGATTTGAGGTCGAAAATATGCTCGGGACAGACACGTGATGCCGAAAATAACAATAGGATTGCGCGAAAATTTGGGTCGGGAAGAACCCTAAGCCCCTTTTTAGTCAAGTCTCTCTTGGGGGGGCGGGGGGGGAGCAGTCAAAAAGACCCTGAGATAAGGGCGGCCGGTCTCAAAATTGTTTTTTCGACCCTTTGGGCCTCGGTTTGGTCTACAAATAAGGGAGAGCAGGGCCCCCTAGGCCCCTTTCCTGGATCCGCCACTGACCACGGACCAAGAGTGGTTCCTGCCTTTCTTTACTCCTTTTAGGTTACTCTTTATAAGACCGACAGTACTATGAGACGGACACATAGCGCATGTCCTAAAGGTGTACTCCTTAGAGAAAGTTGACTGTACATCGGAAAACGAGAGATATTTTAGTTATAACTGCAGATCATGAAGACAACATCTTGTGTTATTTAGAAAGACACATTTTACATATATGGATCAGAGTCAGTGGCGGATCCAGACCTTCAGATAAGGGGGTGGGGGGGGGGGGTTACCCAGACCCTGAGATAAGACGGGAGGGCCGGGCTCAAAAAAATGTCTTCGGCCCTCAAGGCCTCAGTTTGGTCTTAAAATAAGGACGGGGGTGGGGGGGGATCTTCCCTGGTTCCGCCAGTGAGAGTTGCTTAATGTTTTCTAAATTTCTACTTAAGACAGAGTACACGCCCATGTCGTTACGTATTTATTGGCTTTACCTTTAAACTGAACGGAATAAAATTGCGAACGCCCGTTTAAGTTCTCGTAAATTAACTAAATTAACATTCAAAAAGACGCTTTCAAATTGTTCGCATTCTTAAGGAGGCAACAAATGACAGCAATATTACTTCTGATTAGTTTAGTTTTCACTTAAAAACAACATTTGCTTCATATATCTGAAGCCCGAAAGGTACCTCCCCGTATAGGCCATTGTAGGGAGTGCAATCCAGAACAAAATAAGATACCCAGAGATTGCAAGTTCAAATTAGTAAAATAATCAAGGCAGAGACTGATAAATGTGATTTGATTTAAATTGAGTAAACTGTTATCTACACCTCATATCTTAAAATAAAAGTTTGTTAAAACTTAAATTGTCTAAAAATAACTTTGGTGAAATTCACAGACCCTAAGGGCTGGACTGGACGTTTTCCTCTTTGTCTCATTATTCTCTATTGATTTCATCCTTTCGACTCCTTCCTGACTGATAACTGTTTTACAGGAAAGAGAGGCTCTTATGGCAGAGCTGGACGAACTGTTGGAAGAGCGAGCAACGAAGGAGAAAACCCTTCGCGAACTGCAGGACAATGAAGTTACCTTAAGAAGAGACCTAAACGATTTAAACAGAGAACTAGACTTACAATCTACAGAGCTCCACATACTCATGGAAACCGTGTGCGCGAAAAGAACCGCGATGGAAAAGAGAGTTCGAGAAAAGCAAAAACGCGTGGAGGAGCTTCGAGAAGAATTCTCCGTTGTGGTGAGAGATGAACGGCGAAATGCCAGCTACAGGATAATAGCGAATGAGAGCCGCTTCCTGAAAAGGAGAATTTCCCAACGGAAAGAAGTGAGGAATTCTCTTCGAAAGCAGGTGGACGAAATTCGCGATCATAAGAAAATGGTGAAGATAAGATGCAAAATGATGGTTAGCGAAGAGCGAGCATTGTGGATGAGCATCAGCGAGAGAGTGAAGAGGATGGCTGAAAATGGTCACCCACTTGAAGTTGGACACACTATGGTTAGAACAACAGCTTTGATAATAATATTAATAGTTATAATAATATTGCTGATAGTGATAACGATAATGATAATGACAATAATGGTGATGATGATGATGATGATGATGACTATGATAATGATAACTGGAGGAATAATGATATTTATCCAGGGAGCCAACTCGCCTATAATTGGTTTTCGGTGGGGCTCTGCAAATACTAGATGACAACATGAATGAAATACATGCCTATCACCAATCTATAAATGAAAAACTAAAGTGGTACTTTTTTGGGCTGGGGGACTTACGATAGTAGAATGAAGGTACAAGTTAGAAAACTCTAGGGGTCGTTCTACTTTGCTGTTAAGTTCATTGGCAAGAATTGGACGCGGACCAAATAGTTTAATTAAATAGCTGATCAGTGTACGAGAATCAAACAAACAGTCACAATGTATTAAACTCCTCAAAAACCGGACAACAAGAAACACTTGTGAAGGGAGAGTAAGTCGTTTTAAGAAAACGTCATGAACAGTACTATCACACCTGCACTGTTAATACACTTGAACCTCTCCGGCCACCTTGGGGACAGAAGAAAGTAGCCGTTGTGGAGAGACTGTGCAAAAGCCAATGTATGGACGACTGTCCGCCAAAAAAGTGGTAGTTGTAGAGAGGTGGCAGTTGGAGTGGAGGTTCGACTGAATTTCAACCGTACCGTTGTTAGTGTCTCATTTAAACGAATAGATTGGATAATGACCTACGTAAATACCACTGCAGGGCTAGCTGTGCTCTAGAAGGCCCGGAGGTTTAGGTTCACAACATTTTTCCCCCTTGCATCATTGTGCATAGTACTGTGAAAGCTACACAATGTCATATAAGTCGGTTTTGTTCCATACAGTCGAACCTTCACAAACGGCCACCTCTCTAAAACGGCCTCTATTTTTTGGCGGACAGTCCATGTATTGAATCTTGTACACTACTCTCTCTACAACGGCCACTTCTCTATAACAGCTATTTCTTCTGGCCCAAGGTGACCGTTCTACAGAGGCTCAACTGTATTGACCCACATTTCTCAGATGTTTCATGGACACTGCCACCCCACTGATGAAATTTTTTCTTTTTGTTAAGCCAACTTCGCCTGATGGGCTCCTTTGTCAAGTAATGTGAACAAAATTTAGATGCTATAATTCCTTGTCTTTATAGGCTGACAGTACCAGCACAAAGGGCGAAAAATCAGACGAGGGGAGTTCTTCCAACACCTCGAACCACGAGGGAGCCAAGAAAGAGGATACTGTAGGTGATGCAAGTACAGGTAAATCTAGAGATTTATGTGGGACCGTAGAACGTTTTGCGTTTATATTTTTTATTTCAATTGGTTTATATTGCACGCATACTGATTCAAAGATGGAAAAGTTAACGTTCTTGTTCATTTTTTCAGGAGATGAAACCAAGACATCTAGCAACACTAGTTCCCAATCCGCAGCAACTTGCGTGGAAATAACCAAACATGAAGTAAGTAATCATTCCGCTTTTTCTACGTAATTTTTTGCCTGTAAGTAGAATACTTCAAAACTAAATGCTGAAAGCCATTTTTTTGTATCTTTCTGGCAAAGTCTTTTTACCTCCCTCGGTGATCCACATTAGTTATGGCATTCACGGACAAATGCACAGTAATGGCCCCATAAGAGAGAACAATATTGGCCAATATTTTCTCCATGGGATGTACGCCCCTTTGTACAGCTATTTTCCTGTGCTCATAGCTGAGAAAATGCCATTATTTTGCTTCACTCGGATGACAAACAAGAATAGCAACGATCAAATTCACATGCAAACGTTTGCCAAAAAGTTTTTAAGTCACGTGCGGTTAATTGACGTAAGGTAACTTGTTTGCATACTAATCAATTATTTTTCTTTTCTTTGTAGGCCAGAAGCTGTTCCGAAATTAAAGCAGAAATTTCTCCTACAAAAGCTGAGCAGTCCGCACAGACGAATTCTTCACCAAGTGCTAGAGATCAGACAAATCCTAAAGGAAGCGTCAAAGAAGAACTTGATGATACTAAACTTAGAGGCAAATATGGTATTGTTTTTACTGTGATTCAGTTAGTATTGTATTTCCTTGAATAAGCGCCCGCGAATAACGGCTAGAAAGGGGGCGCTTATTGGAAGGAGGGCGTTAAAAGAAGAGGGGCGCCTCTTTAGTTTTCCTTTCAACGAAGTGTAACTTTGTTTCGGAAAATTAATAGGTTTTCGTTTGCTAAAACAGTAGTTGTAATCAAGTGTAAAGTAGTCCCATTAAACACCTCATTCTGACAAACAAACGTATCGCTATACATGTCTACAAAATATAATATTATCTCATCATCATCAAGATCATCCTCGTTAATGATATGCAAATCTTCGCTTTCTCCTTGTATTCCTACTATTTAAGAAAGTGATCAATTAAAAAAGATGAAATAAGCGCGATAAAATTTGAAGCAGTGCGACTTCTCTTTTTAAGTGACGTTTTTGTAGCCGTTGAAGTTCCCTATTGGCCTAAGGGGTGGAGCGCTTATTCGAGGGAGGCCGTTTATTAGAGCGTGGGCGCTTGTTCAAGGAAATAGACTTACAATCTACAGAGCTCCACATACTCATGGAAACCGTGTGCGCGAAAAGAACCGCGATGGAAAAGAGAGTTCGAGAAAAGCAAAAACGCGTGGAGGAGCTTCGAGAAGAATTCTCCGTTGTGGTGAGAGATGAACGGCGAAATGCCAGCTACAGGATAATAGCGAATGAGAGCCGCTTCCTGAAAAGGAGAATTTCCCAGCGGAAAGAAGTGAGGAATTCTCTTCGAAAGCAGGTGGACGAAATTCGCGATCATAAGAAAATGGTGAAGATAAGATGCAAAATGATGGTTAGCGAAGAGCGGGCATTGTGGATGAGCATCAGCCAGAGAGTGAAGAGGATGGCTGAAAATGGTCACCCACTTGATGTTGGACACACTATGGTTAGTACTAGTAATAACCAAAGGTTACGGAGTGCGGGCGACAACAATCGAAGGTCAAAACGTTTTTGCTTAAGCGCTGTGCTTTGCGTAAGTTTCACGCGACAGATGGTTCAAACCCGCGCGATCAGATCACGAGTGAAATAAGGTCCAAACGCGCGTGATCAAATTGGGTTCTGCACATTCCATTCTCTCTTTCTAGTGGAAGTCCAGACTAATAATGGCTACATGCATGCGACGCATGCGTAATAACAACCTGGAGATGAGAATTGCAGGCTCCTTGACGCCCGCAACAAAAGCTTGATGATAATAATAATAATAATAATAATAATAATAATATTAATAATGATGACGACAATGACAATGACAATAATGGTGATGGTGATGATGTTGATGTTGACGATGATGATGATGATGATGATGATGACAATAGCCACTTCTCTGCAACAGCTATTTCTTCTGTCCCCAAGGTGACCGTTAATTGTAGAGAGGCTCAACTGTACCTTTCTAGCTTGTAGGTTTTATTTTCCCATTGCAGACCACGTGATGTTACCCCAGAGAATTGTTTCTTTCAAGTGTCCTATGCACGTGCATCCACTTGCATATGCGTGCATGACTGATGAAAAGACAAAAGTCAAATTCCCTAGAGAACATCACGTGGTCGCCGGTTGAATTGGGAAAACAAAATATACAAGCTAAAAAGGTCTTTTAACCCACATTTTCCCAGACGTTTCGTTGACACTGCCATCCTACTAATGAAATTTTTTCTTTTTGTAAAGCCAACTTCGCCTGATGGGTACCTTTGTCAAGTTATGTGAACAAAATTTAGATGCGATAATTCCTTGTCTTTATAGGCTGGCTGTACCAGCACTAAGGATAAAAAATCAGACGAGGGGAGTTCTTCCAACACCTCGAACCTCCAGGGAGCCAACAAAGAGGATACTGTAGGTGATGCAAGTACAGGTAAATCTAGAGATTTATGTGGGACCGTAGAACGTTTTGCGTTTATATTTTTTATTTCAATTGGTTTATATTGCACGCATACTGATTCAAAGATGGAAAAGTTAACGTTCTTGTTCATTTTTTCAGGAGATGAAACCAAGACATCTAGCAACACTAGTTCCCAATCCGCAGCAACTTGCGTGGAAATAACCAAACATGAAGTAAGTAATCATTCCGCTTTTTCTACGTAATTTTTTGCCTGTAAGTAGAATACTTCAAAACTAAATGCTGAAAGCCATTTTTTTGTATCTTTCTGGCAAAGTCTTTTTACCTCCCTCGGTGATCCACATTAGTTATGGCATTCACGGACAAATGCACAGTAATGGCCCCATAAGAGAGAACAATATTGGCCAATATTTTCTCCATGGGATGTACGCCCCTTTGTACAGCTATTTTCCTGTGCTCATAGCTGAGAAAATGCCATTATTTTGCTTCACTCGGATGACAAACAAGAATAGCAACGATCAAATTCACATGCAAACGTTTGCCAAAAAGTTTTTAAGTCACGTGCGGTTAATTGACGTAAGGTAACTTGTTTGCATACTAATCAATTATTTTTCTTTTCTTTGTAGGCCAGAAGCTGTTCCGAAATTAAAGCAGAAATTTCTCCTACAAAAGCTGAGCAGTCCGCACAGACGAATTCTTCACCAAGTGCTAGAGATCAGACAAATCCTAAAGGAAGCGTCAAAGAAGAACTTGATGATACTAAACTTAGAGGCAAATATGGTATTGTTTTTACTGTGATTCAGTTAGTATTGTATTTCCTTGAATAAGCGCCCGCGAATAACGGCTAGAAAGGGGGCGCTTATTGGAAGGAGGGCGTTAAAAGAAGAGGGGCGCCTCTTTAGTTTTCCTTTCAACGAAGTGTAACTTTGTTTCGGAAAATTAATAGGTTTTCGTTTGCTAAAACAGTAGTTGTAATCAAGTGTAAAGTAGTCCCATTAAACACCTCATTCTGACAAACAAACGTATCGCTATACATGTCTACAAAATATAATATTATCTCATCATCATCAAGATCATCCTCGTTAATGATATGCAAATCTTCGCTTTCTCCTTGTATTCCTACTATTTAAGAAAGTGATCAATTAAAAAAGATGAAATAAGCGCGATAAAATTTGAAGCAGTGCGACTTCTCTTTTTAAGTGACGTTTTTGTAGCCGTTGAAGTTCCCTATTGGCCTAAGGGGTGGAGCGCTTATTCGAGGGAGGCCGTTTATTAGAGCGTGGGCGCTTGTTCAAGGAAATTCCTAGCTAGTCTTTTCTACATTTGTTAAACATGATTTTTTCCCTTCAAGACAGTGAGACCTAGTGTTCTAAATAAAAATGCTTGCGTGGGATCATTTTGCAACGGTGCTGAAGAAAAGTTTATTTTGTTCTAGACTACAAGGAAGGCCTACTGTACCGTGAATCTCTGCGGATGGATTTACCCGGAGGACCCTGGACAGAGTCGTGTTCAACAACAAGTGCGAGCAGCAGTGAGTCTGAGGACGGTGGTAAACAAGTAAGATGACTGAAAGAAAACTTCTTGTCATTATGGTCATTATCAAACTTTAAATTACAATTGCGCAGTGTCACCATGGTATTGCTGAATAAGGTCAATTTTGTGCTGAAAACAGTCATTACTTAGGGCCTTTACAATAGTCCTGTAGGGTTAAGCTCCGAGCAAACAGACGCAACACTGTTGACCAACAACCCCCAACATTGTTGGATGTTACATGTTGCGTCCGTTTGCACACCCTGTTGCATGTTGTTGCGTGTTGTCGGTAGTTGCTGCCGAAAGTTTGAAACTGGTCAAACTTTTATGCCACTTGCAAACGGACGCAATAATGTTGCGTCATGAAGTTATGAATTTCATCATCGAGCACTAACTACAATAACTTTTTGCGCGATTTTTGCCGGTCAAATTTAAAGGCATAACATTAAAAATTGAAATAGTTGGTTTCAATCCATGTCCATCCTTGCCATCCTTTGCAACAGACGACAGGAAACAAATTCAATACCTAAATATAGCCTTGAAAAACAAAACTAAACCATTATTTTGGAATCCAATTGACGATAAAAAAGTTTAGCTTTTTAAAAATATAGCAATCAGCGTGTCATAGCCCCTTTAAGTCAACTACAGATCGGAGCTACCTCGTCCCCAGCGTCTTCTCTTTTTCAGATCCTAGGCATGATCCTGGGGGCTACTTAAGCTACGTGTAAACGGACGCAAAAACTTCAAACATTGTTGGCTCAAGAATGTTGAAAGTTGTTGCGTCCGTTTACTCGTAGCTTTACGTTTGACAGCAGTTTCAAGCTTTGTGCAACAACTCCCAACAACATGCACCAGGGTGTGCAAACGGACGGCGCAACATGTAACATCCAACGATGTTGGGAGTTCTTTGCCAACAATGTTGCGTCCGTTTGCAAGGGTCTTTACTTGTCAAATTCAAAATGAGATAAGGCGCCTCAAAGTAGTTTACACCGGCTAAGGTAGCTTTAAATAGTGTTGCCATCATAAAATAGCGCTATACAAGAGACAGAAAGCACTAAGCAATACACAGCAGTTAACCCACACTGTTTCTACGACATCAACTAACACCCAAAACATTTATATGATCTGGCCCAGAGTTTATTGAACCCGCTAAACAAACCCTACAATTTGTATTGCAGATTACTGTGAAAGTTGACGTCCATCGTCCCTTTAAAAAGAGAAAAATTACATTTGGCTTGTTAAAGCAACTACCCCTACAACGACAACAGACTACCGCAGAAGCGGAAAAAATCGAGGTTGCTCCGGTAAAAGAAACTTACAGAGCTTGCAATGTCAAAGAAAGCCGCCAAAAGGTACTGTATGACAAAATATACATTTATTGTTTTTTTTTTTAACTGATGAATATACGCGAATCTGGATGCTTTTGAGACCGAATACTTTTTTTATACAAAATGGCCAACCAGTGAAGCTGCAAGGAACACGTGACATTAGAAGATTGATTCGTTAGCTCAAATTTCATTGGCTACTTTAGAACGGAGTTTGAAGGTTTCTAAATTTTTACTCCCCCTACAGTTGGATCTTTACGACACTATAAAGGCGTTTTATGTGTTTTCTTTCAGGGAGGATTCTTTGGCAGGCTCTGGCGAAGACTAAAGAAGAGTTCTAA